GCTCTAAATAAGTTTTAAAGTCAGAAATCTATTAATTTTCGTTTTCTAGCTGAAATAATATGTAATTACTGTGAAAGTAATTTTCAGAACGGACCCTAAAAATTTGAATTTTTGGGGGCTTTTTCAGTTTTAGCTAATCATGATGGGCAGGTACTAATTAAATAAATAACTTTAGATATTAGCATGTATAATTAGTAACAATATTAAAACATAATATTTGAGCTCTTGTATTAAGAGTAAAGGTCAGAAATCTATTAATTTTCGTTTTCTAGCTGAAATAATTTGTAATTTTTGTGAAAGTGATTTCCAGAACGGACCCTATAAATTTGAATTTTTGGGGGCTTTTTCAGTGTCAGCTAATCATGATGGACAGGCGATAAGATAAAGCTTGCACGGGTATTCCAAAATGAGACAATAATAGCCGCGTAGGGTAAATACATTAATACCAATGTAGTGGATTCATTGGGACAACAACTGGAAAGGTACCCAGTGCATCATCTATTGGGCGATAGATAAACACTATCACGTTTCTGGATTGGATTGTATTGGAACTGGGGAACTGGTGACGCCACCACTCGAATTAGGCAGTCCAAAATCAGCTGGAGCATATTTTAATGAGTCCATTACTAAGCAAACAAAGAATGCAGGTGGAGGAGGAAACTGCGCAAAAGTAAACACACGGGGTTCTTTTCTAGTGGTGCTACTTTCCACTGGCTAATTAAGTGCAATAAACTACGCACTAAAACCCGGCTAATTGGGCGGAGTCATGCGAATCCGGCGCCACGCCCACTTACACTAGTGTGACGGTGCTTTCCACGCTGCCCGCCGACGAGGAGGCGGCTACGTCATCGGAGCTCTGACTGCTGACCGCCGGCTGTTGCTCCTGGCTGTCTAGGTTACTCGAACCCCCTCCTCCTGGCAAACTCGAGGTGGTCACTGTCGCCGTTCCTGATCCCGCACTCTGCGCCGGACTCGTTGTGGTGGTGGTGGTGGTGCTGCTACTGCTGGTGGCCGTGGTGCCCCGCCGCGTGTCGAACGTCATGGTGTCGGATGGGAATCCTCTCCAGCACCGGAAGCGGTCGATCTAGATCTGTGGGCCTGGCTAATCCTACTGGGCGGCTTTCGGTTTTTGGCTGGGTTCCTATGGCAGTTGTGAGGTATCAGACTACTCCTTGTCCAGCTCGCTGTTTCTCGAGAGGATCAGCGCTCCTATTGTCCTTTTTCCCAGTGAGAAGGCTCCTCCTGCGTTGCGTTTACATATTCCTGGTCAGCGGCCACAGTTTGCAAAAATCTATAAACTGCAACGAAGAACGAAGAAAGAAGCAGAGAGAGAGAGAGGCGGATAAATACAGGCGCTAAAGGAGAGACCGAAAGAGGCACACTCACACACAAGAGTTAGGGTGTCACTGTGTGTGTGAGAGAGCGCTGGGTTGGAATATGAAAAATCAATATTATTTAATAGACGGGGGCAGCAAGCGCCAAATAATGCTCCAAAAGCACACAAATTACGCTCTCACCACCGCTCACCCACACCACCACCACTCCCTCTCCTTCTTCTTCTCTTGCGTATGTGAGTGAATTTAATTTAATGTTGTTTTTGTTTCACGCCGCACTCTTCATTCTTATTTATTTATTGTTATTTTTTTTTGGGCAAACAAAGAACATTTCTGCTGCCGAAAATTACATCACGTCCGAGTCTACGGATTTTCCCACTCGCTCTCTCTCCCTCTCTCCTCCGCCCGGCAACATCCTTAGGCGGAATGTCGGTCGGTGGGTGGAGCAAGTGGGCGGAAAAGGGGTGGTGGGGTTGGGTGCTGAAAATAACTACGCATAAAGACTTTAAGCTGCAGCCCCGAAAACGATGCAGAATCGAACGCGATTTAAAGGGTGTGGCGGCGGGGGGTTGGGGGGCTGTGGGGCGGGAAATCTCTCACTTTCTTCCAATCTCCTCCAGAGTTGTGGGAGAGTAACGGAAGTCACCCAAGGACGGCAGCCAGTGCGGCTTTTTATTATTTTTCACTGTTTTTCACTGGCCCTCTCACACACACACGCGCACGCACGCACACTCGCTCACACGCACGTACATTTATTTTTTGCAAACCAAATCGAACGAGCACTTTTCGCAGCCCCAAAAGGCGATCGCTTTTCCTTCCGCTTTCCGTTCGCCCTGGAAAATTGGGGAGCCCCAAATTGGCTGCGCACTCTTAACTAGTCGCGGTAACTATTTCGCTATTTCGCGAATTTTGAGCTTACAAATCAGCCGGCCAATAGACAAAATGGCGTCTGCCGTTGCTGTTGTTCTGCGGCCCGATTGCAATTGCGATTTTACCTGCCTGGCCGACGTCGAAAGGCTGCGTTTCCTGCGGGGGCGGCGGGGTGAGGCTGCCACGGCGTCTTTCCTGTCCGCTCGCTTCGTAATTCGCGTTAAATTAATTATATTTTAGTTTCTTTTGCTAGGGTTGTGCAGTTCGGGCGAACTAGTTTTGAACTGAACCGGTTCGCGCGGTTCATCTGGTGCTTTTTTCTAGGGTTGCCAGACTGTTGCGGGGCGGCGCCTATCGAACTGGTTTCAATTAGGGGGCTTTTTATTTTGTATTTTTATTGATTTATATTTTTGGTATTCCTTAATGTTAATTGTTAAAATTTTTTACTTAAAAACTATATAGAAAATTTTAGCAATTATTATATTGGTAATGTGACAAAAACATCGATGTTTCTAAACAATTTTAAAAAACACACAGAACACTTTTACCCCTAGACTTAGGCGTTTTTCGCGGAAATTTTAGAAGGGAGAAAGGGGTAAAGCTGAGGGTTTTTTTTTCCGAAAGTCTTATATTTCTTTGCAAAAACACTAAATATTGTGACTTCCTAAAACATTTCAAAACTATAAAAAAAAGGACACAGATTTTTCGAATCTTAACATTTCTACAAAGTCATATTGAGATATTTCAAATTTATTGCACATGTTCGAAATTACCTGATTTTTTGAATTTAGGGGCAAATATGGACTGCTTGAGATTTTTTAGGGGGAAAGCTGAATTTTGATCTGGCAACACTGTTTCTCACCTGTACTATAATGGCCTCGGTACTCGAATAATAATAAAATAGAAATGTATGACGCGTTGGAACGCTGCCCAGGTGCCTACTGCGGGCGATCGCCTCTGGGGAACGACACCTGGAGCAGCTGCGGGGTCTGTCCCCGAGGATCTCGGGTGAGTAGCGTCGCTGACATCTGCCACCTGGTTACAGCCTCTTGAATCCACCCACTTATCCAGGTGAACGAGGCCTACGCCTGCTCCCCGTGCCGCGACGAACTGACCACGTACTCCTGGCTCTACCTGGGCTTCATGACCCTGCTGCCGCTCATGATGCACTGCTTCTTTATCGACATGGACGCCAAGGACCGCAAGTTCTCCCGCAAGCAGCTCATCCTGACGGCCAGCGCCTTCGTGGAGGTGGCCCTGTCCGCCGTCCTGGCCACCCTGTTCATGGAGCCCATGTGGGAGCTGCGCCTGTACGCCTGCGACGTGCGGAAGCTGACCGACTGGTACACGCTGTTCTACAATCCCAGTCCCAACTACGAGGCCCGGGTCTACTGCACCCAGGAGGCGGTCTATCCGCTGCAGACCATCGTGCTGGTCTTCTACTTCCTGTGCCTGGTCAACATGTTTCTCATCCGGCCGCTGGTGAGCAAGGTGATGGATGTGGGGGGGCAGGAGCAAGGCGCCCATTTACTCGGCCCTCTACTTCCTGCCCCTCCTGACCTTTATCCACGCTCTGGGATGTGGTTTGATATGTGAGTAGTTAGTAGAGCCCTGCATGAATTCTATGAATTATTTTAAATTTTTTGTTTTATATGAATGAATTAATTAGAATTTTTTAATAGTTTAATAGAATAGAATGAATGAATTGCATGAATTCCGAAATAATTCAATTTAATTTTGTGATTAAATCTGCCTGAATTTTATTTACTATGCCGTTAACATTTTTTGTTTTTAAAAGAAAGCACAAACAAAATCTGGCAAATTAAAAAAAATCATAAAAATTATTCATTCATTCATTTATTTAATTCGAAATGAATTAGAAAAACATTAAATATATTTCAAATAGAATTAAGATAAACAAATCAGAAATTATGATGATAAAACAAAAATTGAATGATTTTCGCAGTGCTCTAGTAGTTAGCTAGCTTTGAAATTTCTATTTCTATTAAATGCTGTCCCCTTGCAGACTACTCCTTTCCCTACCTGAGCGTGGCCATTTCCATGGTGGCCAATGCCATCCACTATTCCCTCAAACTGGACCAAACTCTGAAGGCTCTGGTTCACTCCTCGGTGTGGGAGCTCAAGAACGTGGTCATTATAGGTTGGAAAAATTATATTTTCTATGTAGAATCTCTTACCAGCTTTCTTTTACAGCTGTCCACTGGATGCTGCTGGCCTATGGGATCACCTCCCTGAATTACCACTACGCCTTCATGTGCCTCGTGCCCTTTCCCACGCTCTTCTACATCCTGACCGTGCGCTTCACGGATCCGGGCGAGTTCCGGGAGCTGGAGTCGAGGATTTGATGCGGCGACGTGCAGATGCAAATCTTCCACGCCCGCGGCGCCAGACGATCGACTGTTGTTATCTATGTGTAGTGTACGCGTCGCTTAATTTATTTACACTTAGTGCGTAGTTTAGATCTTGGCTTGTTTAGATTTTCATGTACTTTAAATCAAACGAATTCTGTGAAGCTGAAAATCGAAACAGGCCATTTAGTGTACTTGTCGTTTAGCCCTAATCCACTCATCGTTCTCTTCGTTTTTAATTATATTTCACATTAATTATACACATATAGTAATATTAAATACAAATCATCAGTTTCCCATCTCTAAAATAGTTTTTACACAATACGCATTGCTACATATTGGATTTGGATGCCGCCACTTGGTTCACACTCAGATCCTTCGTTTTATGCTTCGGTGTGTGAATTTCGGGGGCATCGTAGTCGTCTTTGTCGTCATCATCGTAATATTCCCATATCGCAAGCCGTAGAAAGGAGAAGTCAGGGAGTCAGGAACAGCGGATGAGGAGCGGAGTATAAACAAAATCAGTACCAGCAAAGAGAATAGAAAATGTGATTAACGCAAGCACGTTCTGTTTATGTTTTCTAGTGGGATGAGGGATGAGGTTTCGCTGCCTTTCTTTTCGGGAGTGAAGACTTCAGTGTTTATTCCGCCGACGTGCGTTCGCTTGAGAACTTGTTGCGCTCCTCGAGGAACTTCAAGCGCCGCTTCCTCAGCTCGCCCAGCTCCGAGGAGTTCTCCTCGAAGTCGGCGTCGGAGCTGGGCAGGCTCACCGCCTCCGTGGCCGTCGATGGCACGTCGTCCTCGTCGGCGTCCGCGCCCAGATCCTCAATGGTCACCTTTTCTGCGGGCAGCTGAGGATTCGCTGCAGTCGTGGGCGTCACCTGGTGAGCCTCTAGCTGGGCCATGGCCGAGGCCGAGGTGCTGGGCTTGTCGTACGACCCTGCAGCGGCATCTGCACTGGGAGGATTAGCTCCGGCTGGCGGCACTGCAGTGAGCTGCAAGCGGCTGGCCAGACTTTGGTACTGGGACATCATAATCCCCGCCGAATCCAGCATGAGGTTTATGTTTTGTAGAAGCTATAAGGAGTTTAGTTAAGTGACTACAGATCTCAGGGAATAGCACAATCCCACCTTCAGGCGCTGCTCGATCTGCTCCCGCTGGTGACCCTCCATGGCGCGCAGCTCCTCGTCCGTAAACTTGGTCAGGTCCAGTGGAATCGGCGGCGGCGGCAGCGGCGAGAAGCAGCCAAACTGCGGAGGCATCATGAAGGGCGAGAGCATGGGCATTACGGGCGGCGGAGGCATCGAGAGGCCAGCCAGGTTGGGCAATCCATTGGGCAGGCCAGCTGAAAAGTAAGGTTTAGAATATTTTTACTGCCATTCAAATTAAAAACTCACCGGCATCGCCGAAGAGATCCGCGAAGCTGGGCGGCTGACCTGCGGGCAGGGGCCCATTGGCATCGCCTCCAGCAGCAGGAGCAGCAGGAGGAACTCCACCAGCCGGTGCTGCAGCTGGAGCCGCAGCATTCCCGCCAGCAGCTGCCCCGGCTGCCTCCTCTCCTGCACGCGGCATCGCTGTGGAATTGACGGCCGGCGTGCGCAGGATGTTCAGGCGGCAGGTGGGACACGTCTGCTGGCGCTGGAACCACGAGCGCAGGCAGGTGGTGTGGAAGATGTGGCCGCAGGGCAGCTTCTTCGAGTGGTTGACCATGTCCTCGCGGCAGATGATGCAGATGTTGTCCGACTGGCGCAGCTCCTCGGGCGTGGCGTCCGGATAGAGGGTGTTCATGTTGCGGATGGCCCGCCGCGACATAATGACGTCGTTCAGCGCCTTGCGGAAGTTGCGGATGGTGAAGAACATGGGCCGGAACACGAACATGGGCAGCGCGTAGATCTTGGCCATGATCACCACGAACAGGATGTAGAGCACCACCTTGATGAGCCCGATGACCAGCTCCGTGTAGAGAAGGAACACCGCCTTGTTCTCCCACGGCGTGTCCGTGCGCATCTCGGCGGCATGCAGCACGTACTTGATGGCCGTGCTGGCGATGACGGTGAGCAGGATGGCGTACTCGAAGCCGAAGACCAGCTGCACGGTGGGCCCGCGCACCAGGGTGGAGTTGTAGGCGTGGATCAGCAGCACGTAGTCCAGGATGCCCAGCATGGTGAGCAGGCTGCCCACGCGAATGTGGAACAGCCAGCCGAGCACGGGCGAGCGCTCCATCTGGAGGGGATTACAGTTATAGTAGACACATCTTAATAAAAGGGTCCTCTAGCTTACGAAGTCCACCCGCTCCTCGGCCAGCCAATGGAATGATTTGAGGAACAGCAGCACTGTGAACAGGGCCACGAAGCGCGGATTGAAGTCATCCCGGAACACGGTGAAGGCCAAGCAGGTCTCCGTGAGGGCGTACCAGAAGCGCTCCAGCAGGTGCTCGAACTCGGCGGCGCGGAGCGTGCCGAGGAAGATCTGGAGGGGATTAAGGTAACTAGGTTTGCAGGGAGAACTCAAAAGATCACTCACCTTGCGGAGCAGCTTGCCAAACATGAAGACAATCACAAAGAACTGTATGTAGATGACCTGGAAAGACAAGTTTTAGTCTGGGCATGATTAGGGGATATTCAGATAACCCACCGCCATGGAGGCGTTCGACTTGGTGATGTACACCACCGCCGGGTAGAACTGCTGCTTCTGGTAGTAGGCATTCCCGATCACCGCGCTGGTCAGGGCCATGCAAACGGAGGACAGGAGCAGCTGCATGATGCCGCTCGAGGTCGCCAGGGCCGCCAGCTGGCTGATGGACTCCAGGAATATGTTAATTGTGGCCGGGATCGCTGCCTGCCCCCCACTCACATAAAAGGCAGTCGCTCGGGGAATCGGATTTGGATTCGGAATCGGAATCTGTCGCTCGCAAACCGAAAATGTCCTCTTTTGTCTCGGTGACGCTGGAATTTAGCCGGGTTTTGTTAGCCGAACGAAGTTGTTTGCCTTGCCATCGAGATTTGCCAGTCTGGAATGGGAGGGGTGGCTCTATCAGGGCGTTTTAATATTTTTTATTTTTAACCAATTTACACGTAGTACGAACTTCCAGGGATGAGCGCGTGCTTCTCTTTTCCAGCACGAGCGAGGCGATATATTTTGAGAGCACGAAACCGACACGCACGACCACAACTTTTATAAACACGTCACGAGCACAGCAATTATAAAATGGAAAAAGTGTTAAAAAAAAAAATATACTTTAAAGCACTCCATTCATTTGATATATATTTAATCTAATTTGGTTTTGTCTTAATTTTATAAATCAGTTTAGGAATATAAAACTGCAGTTGTAGATTTATTTTTAACCCACTTTTATGTTTTACTTTTCCGAAGGTACTTTTTGAATTAAATCATATTTTAGGTACGCTCTCACCTCTAGTTTGAACCTTTGGACAGTGTTACCATTTTACTCCACCTTAGAGTCTAGTAGGAATGCCCCTAACACTGAGATGGAAAAAATCGATTATTATTATTTGTTATTATATTTTATTATTGTTATTATTATATTATTCTTATTATTATTTTAATTTTAAAAAGAAAGACTAATACTAAAATTTGATTATTAATATATAATAAATGGTCACACTGCAACTGTTCTTATCAGAAGCCGGGCGAAGAAGAAGAGCGAATCCAATTGGCATATAAATAGTCGTTAAATTGTAATTAGTCAGTACCAAAACAATTTGTTTTAGGAGGCACCTAACCCGAATCCCTATTCCCGATGAGATGGCTTTGGACTCCCACCTCCTTTCTGGTGTTGATCTCTCTCCAGCTCCAAGGAGTCGCCACCCAAGACGGGATAGAGGGATTCCCCGAAGAAGCGAAGGAATTCCCTTTGTTTGAGTATGATGGGGTGAAAAGACCCACACCCACCAGGGGACTATTGTATCCCAGGGAATCGGAGACCCGCGAAGTGCGAAGCCTGGATGGAATGTGGCGTCTGGTGAGAAGTGACCCGGCTGATCCCCTCCAGGGAATCAATGAGAAGTGGTTTGCGGAAAGCCTTAGAAAAACGGGAAAGGAGGTGATTCCCATGCCTGTGCCCGCCTCATATAACGACATCACCACGGATAACTTACGGGATCACGTGGGAACCGTCTGGTATGAGCGAACCTTCTTTGTTCCTAGTTCCTGGCAGGGGAACCAACGCACCTGGCTGCGTTTCAGTAGCGTCCACTACTTTGCCGAGGTTTGGATTAACGGAAGAAACGCCACCAGTCACTCCATTGGCCACCTGCCCTTCGAGGCGGAGATTTCAGGATTGCTCACTTTTGGCAAGGAGAACAGGATCACTGTGATGTGCGACAATCGCCTGGGCAACCGCACCATTCCCCAGGGTTCTGTGAATGAGGTGGCCACGGATGCGGGCACTGTGCCCGTCCAGAGTTACACCTTTGACTTCTTCAACTACGCCGGAATCCACAGGAGCGTTCACTTGTACACCACCCCGCTGCTCCACATCAGCGACGTGGAGGTGACCACCCAACTAACTGCTGAGGGATTGGGTCGCATTGACTACCGCCTGTGGTTGAATGGTAGGGAGGAGGGTCAGCCTACCCAGCTCCTAGTGGAGCTAAGGGACCGAGATGGTCAGGTGGCTGCCCAGCAGATCAACAAGGCAGTCTACCATGGAACACTTTTAGTGCCCAAGGCCAATCCCTGGTGGCCCTACCTGATGCATCCCGACCCAGGTTACCTGTACGAACTCCGATTTGAGCTTATCGCTGGTGAGGAAGAGCATTCTCTGCAGGATGTATACCACTTACCAGTAGGCATACGCAGTCTAAGTTGGAGCAACGATAGTCTGCTGCTCAATGGGAAACCCCTCTATCTGCGGGGATTTGGACGCCACGAGGATTCCGATGTGGGTTTTGTATACCTCGGTCCCTACACAGAAAAAAGAATTAACAAAAGATCAGATTGATATGAGCTGGTCAATTTTATATTGTTAAAAGATCAAGTTATTCATGTCATTTTGATATGAAATGAGGAAAAATTGACCCTATTTCATACTCACTTATTAAAAGATGATATTAACTTATTTAAAGATCAAGTTATTCATATCATTTTGATATGAAGATCATATTAACTTGTTAAAAGATCAAGTTATACATATCATTTTGATATGAGATTAGGTAGAATTGACCCTATTTCATATCAATTTTTTATTTTTGTGTAATCACTGACCAATTTCAGTATTCCTGTTTTAGATAAGGGGCAAGGGATTGGACAACGCCCTCCTGGCTCGCGACTTTAACCTTCTGAAGTGGATTGGAGCCAACGCCTACCGCACCTCGCACTATCCCTACTCCGAGGAGTCCATGCAGTTTGCCGATCAGCATGGCATTATGATCATCGACGAGTGTCCGGCCGTCAACATTGACATCTTTGAGCCGCAGCTGCTGGAGCAGCACATGGCATCGCTGGAGCAACTGATCCACAGGGACAGGAACCATCCCAGCGTGGTGGCCTGGTCGGTGGCCAATGAGCCGAGATCGAGCAAGCAGGGAGCCCTGAAATACTTCGAGTGGGTATAAAGTAGAGTGTATAAATATGAGCTAATTGGGGGATTCGTTTTACCCTTGCTAAGATCCCTGGTGAACTACACCAGGAGCATTGCCCACGGACGTCCTCTGACGGCGGCCATCAATGCAAGTCCCTCCACCTGCCATTTGGCCCAGTTTCTGGACATCGTGGGCTTCAATCGCTACAACTCCTGGTATCAGAACTCGGGACGCACAGACATGATTGTCAACCTGCTGACGGCGGAGGCACAGAGTTGGCGGGACAAGTTCCAGAAGCCAGTCATCCAGTTCGAGTACGGAGGCGACACCATGGAGGGCATGCACTCGGTGAGAATTCAGACTATAAGTTCCTTCGATTGCTAATAACTCCTTAAAGCTTCCTGCCTTCATTTGGTCGGAGGAATACCAGGTGGAGCTGTTCTCCCGGCACTTTAAGGCCTTCGACGAGCTTCGTCAGCGGAGGTGGTTTATTGGAGAGTTCGTGTGGAACTTTGCCGATTTCCGGACGGCGCAGAGTGAGTTTTTCTAATGTCTTCCTAATTTCAGATTTAAGAAAACTGAGTATTCTATTTCAGCTATTACCCGCGTGGGCGGAAACAAAAAGGGAGTATTTACAAGAAATCGACAGCCCAAGGAAGTGGCCCACATCCTTAGATGGAGGTACTTTGCCGTAGCCAAGGAGTTGGATCAGTGCAGGCTGCCTCAGGATCTGAACGTGTATATCTCCAAGCATATCCATAACGAGCTTTAGATTAGGGATTCTTAAATGTAAACACATGGGCACAAAGTGAGCTTTAAACTATATTTATTATATTATATCCTTAGTAAAATATAAGTCCTATTAGTAAATGGCGTAATATTTTACTAAATGTCTAATTTTTAATCTTAAAATAAATCTAATAAAGAAATTAAATTTTTTCACTATTTAGGTGAAATTTTGTATTTTTCGATATCATGCTATTTTAAACCCAATTTTTAAATATTTCTTTACATATATTTAAATAAATATCTATCTCCACGTACATTTAAAACTTTCAGTTAGTTTTAATTTTTCCCTGTAAATTGGTTCTAAATGGAAAAGAATCAAACCGTTCTCAGCGCTTCCTACTTATAAAGGTTACCTCGTTAACAAAGTCTTGTAGCAACCTTAATAACTCAAGTAAACGCAAATTCTGCCAGTTAACTTGGTTCATGTTGTACCAATGTATCTATACACCTACATATTACCCCCTCCCTGATATCTTCATTGGCTTTGCCATGGCCAACTCGTGTTGGTTAAGACCTCTCGACAGCAAAACCTAATTAACTCATTTAGACCCTCTCGTAAAACCATTTATATTTTCAGCTTTGCCACTTTACGCGCTCTTGCCAAAAAAAAAGAAGAAAAACAAAATGGCAAAATGCGCGCAATGGGGCACATCTCCATCTCCATGGCCAGAAAGCAGATGAGTTGACCGTGCGAAATCGTGGCATAATTAAGATGGCCAAAATAGCCAGCTGCCCCATCGATCTGTGGTCACTGATTACCGTTCCTCCCCCGCTGGCTGAGCATTTGAACTTTTACTTTTACCCCGCCGTCGAGAATGGAACCACCGTTACACCAAGACACCTAGATGACCACATGGCGAGTGGATCAACTGGTCAGACTGTCTGGCATCTATTGCCTCATCGCGGAACAGCTGAGGATGTGGATTTTTGCATAAGCCAACCGAATGGTTAGCACCCAAAGGCTAAAGTTGGATTCTGCATCCAACTACGGAAAACAAGCGAGGGGCCCAGACATGGACACACAGTCATCGACACCAGACCACCGCCGACTCAGACCGGTCACAGATCCCATCCCCATACCATCCCCATGCTATCTCAGCGGACCCAGGCGAAAACGTGTCGCAGCAATTTTCCATTCAACGGCAGCTTTTCCATGCACGCTGTGCCATCTTTTGTCGGCACTTTGAAAAAATATCACATAAATCACATAGGCATAAAAAAAATCATTAGAAATGGTTATAAAGTATTTTAAAGGCGAACTGGTTAAAAACAAAATTATCTATCCCCGATCAAATGATTTGGAAACTAAGTTTTAAAGTTTAGATCTTTAAAAAAATTTAAACTAATCACTCAAACATAATAAATATCATAATAAATTCCTATAATATATTAAATCCCAATCTAATAAATAAATGTCTTGGGTTATCTTATTATTAACTAATAAATTTATTTATTATTTTAAAGAAACACCCACCACTTTTTTTGAGTGTTTCCCGTTGCTGCTGCCCATTTTGCCGGTTCGCATTGCATTTGCTGCACTCCCTCTGCGCCACCAGGTCTGCTCATCTGCCCGCTAGCCAGCTCCAAGTTCCAAGTACCCTGTTCCATGCTCCAACTCCATGACTGCGTCGTTGGGCTGCAGCGCCATGCCTCGGTCTCCGCGCT